TAAAATTGACAGGCCATGGCAAGATTATATGAGGGGAATTAGAGAGTAAGGAACAGAGGATAACATCTAGGTTGTGAGCCTGGGTGACAGTGGGGATAGTAGTACTTTTGACAATAATAGGGAAGTTAGGAAAAGGGGAAGGTTTAATGGAAAAGATAAGTTCATTTAAAGTATGTTGAGTTTTGGCTGTCTGTAGGACATGCAGTTCAAGACATCCAATAGTCACTTGAAACATGAGACTAGAGGTTAGAGGAAGAGTTAAGGGCTACACAAGTAGATCTGAGAGTATTCTGCATAAAGATGATAATGGAAACCATGGGAGTTGATAAGATTACCAAGTGAAATAGTATAAAGCAAGAAAAACAAAAGGCCTAGTATAGGATAGAACACCCATGGTCAGTGGGCATGACCTGTATGAATATCCAGCAAAGGAGATTGAGAAGAGGTTGTTAGAACTAGGAGAGCATAGTATCATAAATACCTAGAGAAGAGAAGGGGCCAATCAACAATGTCAAAGACTGAAGAGACATCAAGAAAGATGAGGATTGAAAAAGGCTGTTAGATGTGGCATTTAAGAGATTGTTAGTAACTTCAGGGAGATTAGTAATGCAGTTAAAGGCCAGATTATAGAGAATTAAGAGGAAAGTGAAAGGAAATGAAGTGGAGGGATATTGTGGTATATGATTGTGATGGAATACTGTTGTGCTATAAGAAATGATGAAGGGGATGGCTTCAGGAAAAAAAAACCACAACAACCTGGGAAGACTTAAATGTACTGATGCAAAGTGAAGTAAGCAGAACCAAGAGAACATTGTATACAGTAAGAGCGATATTGTAAGGATGATCAGCTGTGAAAGACTTAGCTACTCTGATCAAGACAATGATCTAAGGCAATTGCAAAGGAACAATGATGAAAAATGCTATCCACCTTCAGAGAAAGAACTGATGAATACTGAGTGCGGATTAAAACCTATTTTTCTTTATTTTTTGTTTGTTTGTTTTTTGGTAACATGGCTAATATGGAAATATGTTTTACATGATTTCATATGTGTAATCAATATCAAATTACTTGCCTTCTCAAGGAGAGGAGAGGGATGGGAGGGAGGGAAATGATTTGGAATTCAAAATTTAAAAAAAGAATGTTAAAAGTAAATGAATTAGTTTTTTTTAAAAGGATGAACATGTAGGAATAAATTGCACTTCTATGGCACTTTAAGTTTTATAAAATGCTTTCTTTACAACACTATGAAATAGGTAGTGTAACAATTTTTATGAAAGGCAGCCTGTCACAGTGGATAAAGTGCTGAATTTGAAGTAAAAAAAATGGGTTTAGATTATACATCAGAAACTTAATTGTTGTGTGATCCTTGGAAAGCAACTTAACTTTCTTAAGCCTAAATTTCCTTATCTATAAAATGGTGATGTATCACCTACCTCGTGGGGCTATTGTTAACATCAAATGGTACAATGAATTACACTACTTTGCAAATCTTAAATCAGTATATTAATGTGAGCTTATTATTATCTCAATTGTGCAGTTGGGGGACACTAAGGCCAAGCAGTTCAATGACCTATTCAAGGTCATGAAGCTTAGTGTCAGAGCTAGGATTAAAACCCAAGTTTCCCATGTCCAAGTCTAGCATTTTCTATTGTAATTTAAAAAAAAAGTAAAAATAAGTAAAATTTATTGAGAATAGAGAGGATAGGATAGGATAATTTGATTTGCGACCTGTACAAATTCAAGTAATAAGAAGTCATGTGCTTATGAATTTTTCATGTAATTATAATATAATTCTTATAGTTAGAATCCATCATTATATTTACAGTATTTTAAAATAATTTACATACCTATGAGACATAGGCATGAGTTTTCATATTTCGTCCACGTCATTCTCACCTGAACTATACTTAGGCACATTTTCCAGAAGTGATAAACGACATCCAGTTGTTTTCATTGTAGATCTCATTCTTCCCCCACGCACTTTAAAATACATATTCTACACTGCAGCTCAATATCAGGAGTTGGCTCTGTGTAATTATGCACCCACTTGCAATCATTCTTGTCACAAAGTGTCAAGAAGAAACCTTTAATAACAGATTGAACCCAGTCTAATGTAATTCATTATTTATAGTGTTAGATCTGCTACTGGAAGAATGAGATGCTCCCATGAAGTTGTCTACTGCTCCCTCTTGGAGGTCTAAGTGTCTCCTAGCCTGTAACTAATATCCTTATTTTCCAGAGGGCTGCAGATTTCTAGAACCCTTAAAATAGAAAGTTTCTTTTTGATTTAGCCAGCTGATACTGTTTTCTCTGAAAGGGTTGGATTGAGATTCTTTCCTGAATTATTGCTCATTCAGCCATAGGAGCCAAGTCAAGCAAACCCAGGACATAGACTATTACAAAAGACTGGGCTTTCTTGTATCCTGAAATAGTGACACTGCCCTCTGTAATGCTGGCTTGTGCTGATTTCATAGATTTGCTGACTGTCTGAGTTGTTAGGAACATTGGAGAGAATTTATTCCACTTTGAACAGAATTACTATCTATAACATTCCTGACAACCAGTAATCCAGCCTCTGCTTGGTGTAATAGAAAGGATATTGGCTTTGGAATCAGAGAACTTGGATTAAAAAGCTTTGGCTCTAGTATATACTCCTTGTATGACCTTGGGCAAGTCCCTTAACCTTGTGGAATTTAGTTTCTTCATATAAAAGAAAAGAGTATTGGACCAGATGATTTCTAAAATTGCTTCAAGCTTTAAATCCCATGATCCCATAATATCCTATGATGAGGATCATCCATTCTATTCTTCCAATAACCACCATAAATTATCATCATTAAAAAACTGCGAAGTATATTCTATTTTCTGCAATAGATAGGTAAAGGAAAGAATAAAAATAAATCTAGTGAAAATTTATCTTTGGAGGCAAAACCTATTATTTAGGTTAACTACTCAAGATCATCTAAGCTATAAATGAAATTATGAAAAACAAACACAAGATATTTTGATCAGAAAACAGCTTTACCAGTGCTGAACTGTAGTAAATATGTCTGTTGTTTTCCTTGACAGCTCAGTAGTTTTGTTTTTTCCTTTACAGGATTCCTCTTTTCTTTCCCATTGAGATGTAATGCCTGACATATATGCTGACTCCACTAACTTAAAGTGAGAATGTTATAAATAAAATTCCAAGTGTGGAAGCACTTTAGTGTTCTCTTTGTATCGTGTAAATGACAGGAAAACTTTTTAAAAAAACTTTCCAACCAGGGAAACAAAGGTGGGTTTGTGTTTAGTTTATATTTTTGGCATTTTCTCAACTTTTCCTGCTATTTCTTTGTCATTACTTATATCTATGTTTTTGACATTAGCTGATGAGATTTTGAGTAAAATGAGAGTCTTTGTTTCACTTTATATTTTCAAAGAAAAAAATGAGCAAAAGGTAACAGACCTGAAATAAGTTGCTCTGAAATGGACAGTAGAGGAAGAAGAGTTGGCTGACCTGACTGCTGGTTAACAGCTTTTTAGCCTCTTTGTTATTTCCACAGCTATTATTTTCAAAATCACTGACCTAGACTTGCTAGAAAGGCTCTATCAGAAGATATTTAGCTATATATGGGAGTATGACATAGAAAAGAAGAAGAAAAGTAAGAAATTGAAAAACAGGAGGGAGGAATAAAGGGAGAGACAGAGAGAGACAGAGTGACAGAGAGAGAGAGAGAGAGAGAGAGAGAGAGAGAGAGAGAGAGAGAGAGAGAGAGAGAGAGACTTAGAAAATGTTATTTGTTGAACATGTAAGTCCTGAAAAAAATCTGTGTGCTTGTGAGAAAATTGCATGTGACTATCAGTGTGCAGTGTCTGTGAGGTATATATACTACTGTATATATACATTTGGGAGGCTATGTTTGAGTAATGTTTTCCTTTCTTTTGAAGCCTGTTCTATAATCTATAGTTTTTATAGTATAAGCCACCCAGAATTATTTCTTCACCGAATTTTCATGGCAAAAACAATGGAGCTGAATCCTTCTGCTGTGTCTTCTCTGAGTATGTTTTCAAAACCTTTCTTCTATAATCATATCCATTATGAATCACTAGGGGTCCAAGCAAAACATTTGCTTGGTTTTGCATTTGGTGTTTTCATAAAATGAATGTTAGGCAAAGAAAGTGAATGAGACATCGGTTTCTAGCTATCTGGAGCTCAAAATTGTAAATCAGTATTTGAGAAGAAAGAATAAATTCCTGCCACTCATCTTTGATGCCCAATTTACATTTCTGCACCCAATAATTAGTTACTGTGGAAAATAAAGTGATTTTCCCTTTGTAATTGTAGTAATAATAATAATAATAATACAAATTATGGATCATGCCATATGAGATAGATAATTCCTTACTATTTCCCCAGCTGACCTAGAACCTATTAGGAAACACGGTTTAGTGGCAAATGAACCAAATTTGGGGTCAAAGAACTAGGAATCCAATCCCAATGTTTTTTTTAAATTTCTTTGTGACTTGGTATGAGGTATTTTACCTTTTGTCTTAGTTTCTTCTCTTGTAAAACGAAAAGGCTGGAATAGATTATCTCTAAAGTCCCATCCGGCACGAAATCCCAGAATGCCAAAATGGAATCGGTTGCCTCATGAAGTGGTGAGTCCTCATCAATGGAAGTATTCAAGCACAGGATGGATGAATAATACCTCATATGCTATGGTATGGGCATTCTTGTTTTAGTAGGGGTTGGACTAGATGGCTTTTGAGACTCTTTCAAATTCTGACATTCTGTGTTTCTGTGACTTTGTGGCTTTTCTTCCGCGCCCCCACACGCCCACAGCTAAGAGGGAGTGAAAGCCTCTGCTCATCCCTAAGCACCCTCTCTCTCGCTGAGTTTGGCCTGTCAATAATCTAGGAAGGTGAACACCATTAGTCACCAGAGGGCGCCACATCCTTATGTACCAAGACCGGTGCTTGGAAGTTCAGACGCTCCATGGCAAAGGCAGTGCCTGCGTGGACTGCATCCCGGGCAAAGCAGATCACCAGGCAAAGATGAAGCGAGCACCACTTGGCCAGGTTCCGCAGCGCTTCCAGCCTGCGCTACCCAGAGTGTGAGCCCTACTTCGCAAAGGTTTGTGAACAACCAAGCTCTAGGGACTCTAGAAGGCCAGTCTTAGTCCCTGTTCTGAGCTGACTGGTGCACTCACCCTCTTTGCTGGTCAGTGGCTGGGTGCAGGGTGTCAGGATGCTGTGTTAAGGCTATTTGTGTTTGCTAGGCTTTGTGTCCTGCTGTTGGGGTTGTGCTGGCATGGGAATGATATTTTTGGAGGGCTGGGTGTGTGTGTGTGTGTGTGTTTAGGTGTGCCTATAGGTACATATATGCTCCCTCCCTCTCTCTCTCTCTCTCTCTCTCTCTCTCTCTCTCTCTCTCTCTCTCTCTCTCTCTCTCCCTCTCCCTCTCCCTCCCTCCTTCCCTCTCCCTTTCCTCTTTCCTTCTCCTTCTCCCTTAATACTATCCAATGCTAAAATGATGGTTTTAATTAGGCGGAGTCTGTGCACCTTGGAATAGGTGGTTTGTTTCTTTGTGCGTCCCGAGGGTCCTGCCCTATGTGACCGTCTCATAAAAAAGTCCAGCCCAGAAAGGCATTCTGAGTCTCCAAGTTGACAATGTGGCATAGATGCCTCAGATAGGGCGAGGTGGGGGTTCGTGTGCATGACTGGAGGCAGCGGGTTCGAAATTAAGTTAAGGAAAGAGTTTCCAAAATGCCCTTCTTTGTGCCCAGGGAAGCCAAGTCCCTAGTCAGAAAGAAGGGGGTTGGAGAACGGAAAGGGGAGGGGAGAAGGAGGGCCCGGGAATACGCCCTCCGTGGGATGTAGTCCTTGGGGAAGGTACTGGGGGTGGAGGGTGGGGGAATGGGCAGAACCCGTCAGAAGACAGGTCCCGTCTCTTTACCTCCTGGTCCTTTTCAGGAAGCCTGGAGTGCTGCGGAAAGCACCCTGGCCTTCAGACTGGAGTGGTGATGCAGAAGGAAGGTGGAGGGTCCTGACACCCGGGTTGGAGTCTGGTCCAACCTAAAGCGAAACTCGGGGGAACCCAGATGTGACCCAGCTCCAGGAAGTGGGCGGAAAGAGCTTTTCTTGGCCAGAGACTCCCCACTGTGCTCTGTCTGACCAGCCTTCGAAGGAACCACTCACCCAGTAGCTGAGAGAGGTCAAGCTCGGACCAGAACCTCGGAGGGACTTGACAACCGAGGTCAGCCAAGGTTTGAGGCAAGAGTCCCTCCCAACTTCTCTTTTTTATTATCAGCACTAAGGGGGCTGGAGAGAAGGAAGGGAAAAAAAATGTGTGTGCGCGGGTGGGAGGAGGCTGACGCCTCATTTCCATAGTCTCTGGGGAACCTTTCCTTGATTGCCTCTCGGGATGAAGAAACCCCAGATCCCGGAATAATAGTTCCTCACTTGATGGAAGGTCCAGCTCCCTAGGCTCTTTCTCCAGTGGAACATGCAAAGCACCTCCAGGTTCATCGGTAAGCCTTGCAGCCCTGAGCACTCTGCTCCCTAAATGTGAGGAGTTCCAGGATGGGTGGGAACGGGGAAGGTGGAAAGGCTTCTGTACTGCCCACAACTCACCTACTCCTGCTTCCTGCTGGGTACCCCAATGTCAGACTCAGAGGTTTGTTTAAAAGTCAGCTGGGGACCAAAAATCATCCCCACCCTTCCTCACTGAATTTGGCAATGAAATTGGAGACCTGGCTCTTTTTCTACCGAACTTCCAGCTACCAGACCCAGGCCCCAAAGCCTCTGATTAGCCCCTGTTTTCGTTTCGGATTAGATTCTAAGCTACTAGCCAGGAGACAGACTCTGATTTTTCAAGCTGAGGTAGTCTTACATTAACAGGTACTCATAGCTAGACCATTCAGCTACAAAGACTCAAAAATGTCATTGTTAAGAAAGTCCTTAACATAAAATACCTTTGTTTGATTTGTTTCTAGGGCTAAGGAAGTGGAAATTAGCCAGCAAAGAAGTCCAGGAGTTTCTCAATCCAGTAACAGAACATCAAGCATCCATCCAAGAGGTCATATGGAGGATGCTAAACACCAAACAAAGGAGCACTTCTGGATGTGGATGTTGGGAAATTACATTATAAATTGAATGTCATTTAACTTGACAGGCTCCAGTGGGACTGCCAAGACAGAGGAATGGACAGTAGATTCCTAGATTTACCTCTGTCCGTAGGATATCCACCTAACAAGCTCTCCTGTGTGGTGGGTATCTCTCTGTGGAGATACAGAGAGGGATACAGAAGGGGCCAGCCAGACTCTGGAAGGGCTCATACTGGAACTGGAAAATGGAAATCATCAGCAAATTCTAAGATGCCAAGGTAACTTTACTAGCACTCTTGTGGGACCTGGGTTCAACTCCTAACTGTGATTTATTACCTGTAGACTTTGGGCAAGTCACATCTGGACCTGTTTCCTCATTTTTAAATTAGAGGATTGCATAGATGACCTTGAAAGTTACTTGCAGCTCTAGTCCTTTGATTTTGTGACTTGGGTTGTAAATTATAAATACCTATCCAAGAATTTAGTGCCAATTGTTACTGGAATATAGACATCCATGTAAGGGTGAAGAGATTGCAACAGAAGCTCTGGATCAGCTTGGTGAGTAATTTACAAAGAACTGATGGATGAGTAACCCTTGCATGGGGAAGGAACAAAAAACACACTGAAACACACAATAGATTTCCCCCTACGAGACATAATGCCCTTGAATGACACAACTATGGACAGAGGAGGGCTGGTAGTGGAAAGGGACTTCTCCTTCAGAATCCTTACTGCCTGCTTCCTCTCACTGTTGATCTTGTCTACACTTTTGGGAAACACATTGGTATGTGCAGCTGTCATCAGGTTCCGCCACCTAAGGTCCAAGGTGACCAATTTCTTTGTCATCTCCTTGGCTGTTTCTGACCTCTTAGTGGCTGTCTTGGTCATGCCCTGGAAAGCTGTTTCAGAGATTGTGGGGTTTTGGCCGTTTGGCTCCTTTTGCAATATCTGGGTGACATTTGATATCATGTGTTCCACAGCCTCCATTCTAAACCTCTGTGTCATCAGTGTTGATAGATACTGGGCTATCTCCAGTCCCTTTCGCTATGAGAGAAAGATGACCCCCAAGGCAGCCTTCATCTTGATCAGTGTTGCTTGGACTTTGTCTGTGTTGATTTCCTTCCTTCCAGTGCAGCTGAATTGGCACAAGTACAGAGCCCTGAGCTCACCAGATGGGAATGTTAGTTCCCAAGGTGAGACAATGGACAACTGTGACACTCGCCTGAACAGGACATATGCCATCTCTTCTTCTCTCATTAGCTTTTACATTCCCGTGGCCATCATGATAGTCACATACACAAGGATCTACAGGATTGCACAGAAGCAAATACGACGAATCTCAGCTTTGGAGAGAGCAGCTGTCCATGCCAAGAACTGCCAGAACACAACAGGGAATGGGACTAAGGTAGAGTGTTCCCAATCAGAAAGTTCCTTCAAGATGTCCTTCAAGAGGGAAACCAAAGTTTTAAAGACTCTGTCAGTGATCATGGGAGTGTTTGTGTGCTGCTGGCTCCCTTTTTTCTTATTCAATTGCATGGTCCCCTTCTGTGAATCTGATTTACCTTCTGGGGAAACAAAGCCCTTCTGTATTGATTCTATTACCTTTGATGTTTTTGTGTGGTTTGGATGGGCAAATTCCTCGCTGAACCCCATCATTTATGCCTTCAATGCTGACTTCCGCAAGGCATTTTCGACTCTCTTAGGATGCTACAGGCTCTGTCCCACTGCTAATAATGCGATAGAGACAGTTAGCATCAACAATAATGGGGCCGTGTTTTCAAGCCATCATGAGCCCAGAGGGTCCATTTCCAAGGAGTGCAATCTGGTTTACCTGATTCCACAAGCTGTTACCTCCCCACGAGACTCAAAGAAGGAAGAAGGTGGAGGATCAAAACCATTGGAGAAAACCTCTCCAGCTTTATCTGTCATTTTGGATTATGAAGTTGATGTATCTTTGGAAAAGATTAGCCCCATCACACAGAATGGACAACACAAGACCTGAACCGTAAGATGAATCCTGTAAAATATGCTATTCAAAAACACAAACCTTACAAGATTCCCTTTTGTTTGTTGTTGTTGAGAAACTAAGCTACGGTGAGATTTCATGCTCATCACAAAAGAGCTGACTGCTGCTTCTACTCAGCATACAACTTTGTTTTAAAACCCAGCCCAGTGTACTTTTGATTTGTAGGTATTTCTGTATTGCTCATACTGAATGAAACAGAGACTCAGCTAAAAGGTAGAAGACCAGGAACATCTCATCAATTCTATAGCTATTTATAGAAACTAGTTTCTATCTTAGTGACTGAAAATAGGACAAGAAATCAAGAATTAACAGTTACACTTAAAAAAAATCACCACTCCCAGAAAGAAACAAGAACATTGAGTTTGCCATGTATAAATAGGTGCTAACATGTTTCAAATCAAGTTTTTAGACTGTAAAGTTAGGTAAATGCCTTTGTAAATTATTTCTGGGAAAAAAAATGAGCCTTATAGTAAGAATGAGTATTTTTAAGTTTGGGAGATGCTTTGTTAATACTGGTTTTATTTATTTATTGTTTTAAATGCTATGTTTTAATATGTTACAGCAAATTTCTTTATCTTATTTAAAAATATTGTCTTCTGGGAGATCTCTGAGACCTCATGATTACAATTTTTTTGATCGTTTGACAGGTCAGCATTTTAGTGTCAGTTGGTAATGAAACTGTTGAGAAAAACACACATAGTTGGAGTAAATTTGCTTGTGTATACCTCAAAATTACAACAAAAGCTAAGAGGGAATAATGTTGAGCTCTGACATTTCTTCTGAATTCATCAGAGATCAATACAGGATCAGAGCTGACAAGGAAAAAAAAATGACTGCAACTTTTTTTTCTAATAAGGATTTAAAACCACAATGGATTGCTGCTATTCTTTTCATTATTTTCCCATTACAAAGAAGTCTTCTCAAGAAAATAGTCAGCAGCTTTGTAAATAACTTCCACAGGAAAACCAACTGAAGAGGAATCATGCTTCCAAGTTGAGATCTTAGCCCCTGGCAACCAGAAGCATCAGATGCTTTGTATTTATGTAAAATAATTGGCTTCTCAGTCTTTTCTTATTTCAAGTGTTGGTTATCTTTTTTTTTTCCTTCCTGAACAAAACCAATGACTGATGATAGAAATGCATAGTGACTCTATTAAATCTTGTTATCTACCACCTGTGTATTTACAGCAACACCTATAGAGCATACTGTGTGTCATATTCCTTTAACATATGGGCTACTTCTCTGCTTTACTTTGCAACCGGGAATCAAATCATTTTTCAGTTTTATCTATGAACAAACAGCAGTGCCTCATTCCCATCTAGGATTAAGATGTTGCTGGAGGGGTTGGACAGGGAGCCCCGCTATTTTGCAATGTGCTGCCAGCATCTTTTGTGGCTACAGATGCTTCCACTGTACTTTCAGCAAAGTTCCTGTTTCTTTTGTTCCCTCTGGGCTGTGAAGAGCATTCCTTTTGCAGCAACATCCAGGTGATGGAATAATCCTGTGTGCTCCAAGAGAGGAACTTGGTTCATAAATGCTCGACTGCATCTTCTTCGGGAGGAACTGCTTAATGGAGTACTATGGGAGGGGGAAAGTAAATATTTACTGAAAGAATACATCCTGCATCAGGTCTGTGTTATATGTGTATTGCGAATGTTTTCCTAAGGTTTTTTTTTTTGCTTGTATGCTTTCATACATATAATAAAATTATTTTGTGAACACAAATGGAAACAGAAGCATTTACATTGCATTCCTTAAAAACACATTGCTTTGGGTGTTTCAGATTCAGACATCAGGAGGAAAAAAAAATATACAGGGTTCACATTCAAGTAGCAGTCTGGTGAATGAGAATGGAAACTGGATTGTGAGTCAGACTGGATTTGATTGCATCTTGGTATTGATATTTACTCATCATGTGACTCTGGAAAGGGAACGTGAACTTCTGTGAGTCTTAGTTTCCCCATATACAAAATAGGCGCATACTTCTTGAACTCCCTTCATCACAGGGCTGTTGTGATAAAAGTACTTCTTTGTAAACTTTAAGGCAATAGAGAAATCAGTTATCGTTTTGATAAGTACATGGGGTTTTTAGTGGAAATGTCTTCTGTTAGATGCTGTGCTACTGTGAAAAACATAAGGATGCTAAGAAGCAAAAAATGTGTGATTTCAAAAGTATCTCTATGCTTTTAGCTTTAAGTGTCTTAATCTTGCCTTCATTTTGCATCTTTGAAAAGGAACAGTCTTTTGGGTTTAAGAACATTTGAAAAGGAACACTCTTTTGGATTCTGGTTATGATTTCATATACTTGAAAGGTTATTAAGAACTGTTTTCTATTTTCAACCCAAATCATTTCAGCAAAGATTTATTAAGCAAGAGTGTGTTGCATTGGAGAAAAAAGCATTGGCTCAGGAGTCAGAGAACCTGGGTTTAAATCCGTTCGACTACTTTGCTAACCTTGGGCAAGCCACTTAACCTTAGTTTTCTCATCTGTAAAATGAAAGGGATGTATCACGTGGCTCCTGATGTACCTTCCAGCTCTAGATCTTTGGTTTTCTGCCCTACAATATGCAAGGGTCTGTGATTAGTTCTGGGGATACAGAGATAAAAGACAACCTAGCTTCTACTTTTAAGTGTCTTATTGTCTAAGGCTACTTATACTGGCACACAGTTTTTTCTTTTCTTTCTTTTTTAAAAAAAATCAAATAGCTAACAACTATTTAGAGAGTAGTTGTTTGGTGTTGAAATCTGTTGTTTGTGGTAGGTAGCATTGTGTAGCATGTGGACTTGGAGCAAGGAAATCTGAGTTTCATTTGTAGCCCCCCTTTAAACCTCTGGTCACTTCCCCTCTCAGTCAGTTCAAAGCACTGTGTTAAACATTTTGGATGCAAAAAAAAATTAAACTAAACTAAATTAAACTAATGAACTAATAGAAAAAAAAACATCCTCAAGGAACTAGAATTCTAATGAGGAGACAACATGTAAACAACTTTGTATATATAAGATACATGTGGTGTAAATGGTAGGAAATAAAGAAGGCACTTGAATTCCTCCTTTAAAATGCCAATGGCTTGAATTATTGTACTGTTTTAAGGTTTTAAGGTCCTTAGCAGAACCTCTTGGATTAAGCAGTACAGGTATTGTCATTCTCATTTTATAAATGAGGAAACTGAGGTTCAAAGAGTGGAAATGATTTACTGAGCTAGTTAGACTGGAGGAAACAGAAGTCTAATATATTATGCTGTGTTCCCGACTCTTAAGTTTCCATTCCCGTCTAAACATGCTGTGATTCTGAGATAGAATAAAATATATACATAGCTAGATGCAGGATGTTTTTATTCTTTGCAAGAATACATGGATCATTCTACTGGATTATCAAGTGCTCCCTGCTAGGAGATATCCCTTGATGCTACTGAAAATGCCTGATCTTGTTAAGAAGTCAATTTTTTCCCGCCAGAGGAACGGTGGTGACTGACCAGTAGGTGAAATGGAGGATGGGCTAGCAAGCAAAGGATTAAGTCTACCATTCTGAATATCACACAGCAGATGGTGTCTTTTCAGTTTCCCCATTTGTCTTCCTGGGCACTAGAAGAGAAAAAACTTGTCTGCAGTTAGCACCCAGAATGCATCATGGTTTTCCTTTTAGCCATATTTGTTTTTTTTCTGAAAACTTTGCTACACTGAAGGAGAGTTTCCTTTCTCAATGTGAAGTTGCATATTGTGGCAACTAAGGTGCTCTAAATGATATCATTTTCCAATTGAGAAAATGAAGTAAAAAAAAACACCTATCCCTTTTTTGTGCTCAAATTATAAACCCAGATACATGATTTACTTTGGTGAAAGAGAACAAAGTAAATGACATACCTAGAAATCATATCAAACAATTGCAGGATTCAATACAAGATCAAAAAGACTATAATTTTCTCTCTTGGCATGTTGGATTGATAGATAAAATGCATCTTAGTAAATGTTAATTTCACTGAAAGGAGCTTCGAAAGAACTCAATTTGCAGCCCTAAAAGCAAAATTATAGCATGACTTTCATTTAACCTTTAACTATTCATTGCTCTACCTTATTAATGCAAAGTCTAAGTAAAACACTGTACTAATATAGACATTTAATTTGAGTGAGGTTTTCCCCCATCTTTCTGAGAAGGCTCTTTTTTTCCTTTCTCATAATGAAACAGATAAGAAACTCTAAACTGGTGGCTAAAATGATAGGAGACTGGGTAAAATTGATGGAGCAAGAAGCTTGGGATTCAAGAGATATGAGTTTTAATTATGGCCCTCTCATTGACTTTCCCCTAAGGTGTAAGCAGGGGCAGTGTAAGGCTCAAATGAAAAAATGCATGTAAAATGCCTGCAGACCTTAAAGTGCTATGTAAGTGCTATTTTATTATCATTCAGTTATTATGATATTATTTTATTACAATTATTATTATTATTAGCCTGCAGTCTCCAGGTTTCCAGTCTGATGATGACTTAATTCTCCAAGTCTTCTGCATTCCTACTGAGCTCAATCAAATACATATAAGTATGTATATATATCTAATATAGATACATGTATACATACATATATGTGTATATGCATATATGTGTATATACATACATATATAAAGAGAGAGAAACACAGGGTCATGCTGGTAAATATTTAACAACAAAGCTCAACAGAAAGGAAAGGCAGGCACACTCACTTTTAAGCTTAATCCGCATTATTAACACTTTCTTAAGTCTAGTAATCAAGAAAACAATAAATCAAGCTTTGATCTGAAGTGACTGGCAATTTCTGAGGTGCAAATGCTCATAATGAAAATTTAATAATCAGCTTGGAGAGTCAGGTTATAGCTGGCTCCAGTACACCCCTGGATATAAGGCAAGTTATTTAACTGCTTCGCTTTTGATTTTTCCCGTTTGTATCATGGGAATGATAGAATTCTCTATACTTTTGGTAACCCACATCTCTATCCTGGAGACTCCATAGCCAAAATTATAATTGACATTTTTACAGCACTTCAGGTTTACAAGGTATTTTATAGTCTTTATATGGTACACAGTAGGGTTTAATAAATGCTTAATGACTGATTATCTTTTAGTTCTCACAACAAAATTGTAGTTTTTATGCAAGATGTCCGAAAAGTCTTAGTGCCATTTTAAACTTTCAATAGCTTAAAATTGCGCTAAAACTTTTTGGGTTACCCTGTATATAGAGTGGTTAGTATCATCATAATACAATAGTTATAATTATTCTTATTTAAAGATAAGGAAACTGAGGCTGAGAGGGTAAGTTACCCAAGGACACAGCTGGTAAATGGAAAAGCCTACGTTGATCTATTGGCATTCAAATAATTTCTTTTGAGGTTTTTTTAATCTTTTAGAAATACCTTTTGTCTTTGATACTATAGGCATTTCCAAAAATAATCCTTTCACACTTAACATAAACATATGTTAAATCCTTCTTTGAAATGAAGAAAAATAATAAGCAAGATAAACCCACAGAGTGGCTGCATCTGACATTGGATGCATCTCACCTCTGTAGTTCCCTACTTCTCTAATGAGTAAAAGAAAGAGTGTAGCATTGTCTGTTTCCTGGAACTGAGATTGGGCATTTTATTTAAATGAGATTTTTAACTTAGGCATGCTTTCATCTGTCACCGCTCAGGAGTCAATGTGTACCCAAGGAATAATAATAGTAAGAGTAGCCTAATTTAAAATAAAAAATTAGAGAAATAACTTTGCTGCAGCCACATGTACACACATGTATTCTACCCTTCAAAAACTAGTCCAATTTAAAGATGTTTTATAAGTGTGTGTGTACATACACATGCACATGTGTGTTACCATAGTCATTTCTGTATATTCTTTTTTTTCTTCTAGCATTGAATTCTCCCATGCAATAAAGAAAACCAGTTAAAGAAAGCCAACCAATATGGTGACTACTTCTGTCAATGTATGAAACATTCTGCTTCCATAGTCCTCCACCTCTCTTCCTAGAGTCCAAAATAATCATACACATTGTATAGATTGCATGTTTATTTGGATTATTGCCTCCAAACTGGTAGTTAATTTAGAGTTGCCTGTGACTGTAGATCAGAGGCGTCAAACATGCTGGCCAC